GTAATAAGATCTGTTGAGCTAGCAAACCTTTAAAACAACAGCGAGGTCCCACGTCCTGCCCTGCCGGATTCATTTAAGCCCGTTGTGTCTCTTCCACAAAGTTCTGTTAACGGGAGGGGGGGTTGCCCAGGGGCTTTGGAGAGGTTTAAGGGGTGGCTTTCTTTGTCCAACTGGGGAAAGAACTGCGCACAGCCACCGGAGGTGTGTGGGTTTGTGGGGGTTTTTTTGTAGAGTAGAATTTCCTACCCCCCTTTTTTTTTGGTAAGCTTCCCAAGGAACCCTGCAAGGTAGGCCTGTTTGCACTCTGCAGGTGGAAAGGAAAGCATGAAACTCTCGTCAATATGTCTTCATCTTCTTTTTCTGAATCCCCATCAATAGAATGGCTGCCCAGCGTGACCTCAGGGGACTGGGGGGGGGGGACAACCTTGTGCATTCCTGCAATGTTTTAATGCATTAATAATCTGGGGGGGGGACGTCTGGCATTAAGGAAGGATTTGGGGCAGAAGAGAAGGGGAGGGGGCGGCCCCCACCAGCTGCCTCTTGACAGGCGGGTGGGAAGATTGGGGTCCTTGATGCAGAGGTCCGTGAAAGCAGAGCTTGGAAAGGAACTTTTTTGGGGGGGGGCTGGAATCTGTCAGCCAGTGCGCCCAGTGGAAGCTGGCACCTGAAGTAACTTTTCCAGCCTGTGTTTGAGGGGTCAAGGAAGACTCATCCTCGGCTCTTGGTTGAAATGCAGACGGTGGTTCAACCTCGGTCTTTTCCCACCCCTGGATGTGGGGTGAGCAGGGCTGTGCAAACCCCAGGGTGCCACTGCACTCTTCTTTGTGGGCTGGAAAGGCAAGGCCGATGTCTCTAGGGGTGGGTGGCGGCAGGATTGTGTGTTTCTGATAATGAGCTGTTTGCCAAGCAGGAAAAAGAAAAGCCTGCAGGGCGGATCGATGGGTTGGCTGCTCAGCCTTCCTTCAAGAACCGTGGGCGGGTGGGTGTAAAAATAATTTCCAGAGGCGTTCAAGCGGGTCCCTCTGTTGCCAGAAAATAGTGTAAGCCTCATGGGTCACGTGCAAAAATGAAGCCACCTTCAAGTGGGACATTTCTGAGCTGGCTCTGGTTTTCTGTGTTTTCCTGCGGCCGTTTATATACTATTTATCGGTTTATTTATTCCTCTGGGCTGTTGTCTTTCTTCCTGCAAGCTTGCGGTCTTGTATGTGGGGCTTCCCTCTCTCTCTCTCTCTCCCCCCGCGCGCTTTATTCTCTCCCACACCAACCCTGTGAGGTCGATCAGGCTGAGAAAAGAAGCCGGATGCAGGGCCGCCCAGCGAGGTCTGTGGCTGGGGGCGAGCAGGTGGGATTTGAACCCGGGTCTCTGGCATTCTCAGACTGAATGGTAAGGGTGGCAGTGAAGGAGGAGCCTGACCGGAGAGTCTGACTCGCTCCCAGGTGGTGAGCTGAAGTTATAAAAGGTTTTTTTGTACTTCTAGGAATGCAGTTAAGGTGGGTTTTTATTTTCTTAAAGCCCCGCTTCACACCCACCCGCCCCCCCTTGTGGGGCAGCCCCTCCCTTCTTCATTCCGGGGGGGGGCTTCTGCCCCAAGGAGAAAAAGCAAATGATCTCGGCTTCGTGGCCTGCGATAGAAGGGGAAAACTAAAAGAACGGCTTGAAATCAAAGGGGATTCCAGGCCTTCAACTAAAAAATGCTTTTTCGTGGTGTTTCGCACTGAGAGTTGTGTGTGCTTGTTGTTGTTTTTTTTTGGGGGGGGTTGCTTCAGAGTCTGGGTGCCAAAGGGAGTGAGTTCTGTGAGAAAACCTTTCCCGAGGGGTACCTGTCTTTTAAAGGTTTTTTTCCCCCCACCTGGCTGAATCCCCCAAAGGTCTGCCTCCAGCCCTCTGCAGGGGATGCATAGAGGCAGCTACAGGAAGGCCTCTGTGCATGCGCAGAGTGCTTTCCCCACCCTGCTGCCCAGAAGCACCGCAATCCACTTTCCCAGATGCTTTGGGGCAAGCGGCTTGAGCTGGCGACATCTCCAGATTTGCCTCCTGTGTATGAGGGGGTGGGTGACTTGCCCCCCCTCCGTCGGTCCATGAGCTGCAGATCCCCCCCCCTTAGCCAGGTTCTGGGGCAGCAGCCGGGCCTTCTTTCGGGCAGCGCAGCCGGAAGGTTGGAGGCAAGGCCCCCCGTTGGGTGGGTGGCCTCCTCCCTCTCTCGCTTGCTGCTTCGGCACATTCCCAGCCCAGCCAAGCATGAGAAGGGCCAGGCAGGCTTGGGGGTGGGTGTGTCCGACTCTTCGTGACCCCATGGACCAGAGCACGCCCGGCCCTCCTATCTTCTACTGCCTCCCGGAGTTGTGTCAAATTCATGTTGGTTGCTTCGATGACACTGTCCAGCCATCTCATCCTTGGTCGTCCCCTTCTCCTCTTGCCATCACATTCCCTTCGGGCTTTCCAGCCGAGTTTGGCCAAGCCTGACCTCCTTCCAGGGGGTGAAAACGAGCTAGGTGGGAGGGTGTGTGTGCATGCAGGCTTGCTCCAAAGGGGGGGGGAGGATGGCTCTGCTCTCCCCTGCCCCACATCCCCGTCTTGGGGAGCATCCCTTGAGAAAGCCACCGACGTCCCAGGCCGTGAGAACACCCCGATGATGCTGCTGGAAAAAGCAAAACTCCAAAATCTGGGACTTTTTCCACTCCAGGTCAGAGGTACAGACCTTGGCGTTATATTTTGGATGTTCATTTCCAAAATCCCCAGCTGTTCTGGCGTCCTCCCCCCCCCCCCCCCCCCCCCCGTTTCTCAGAGTAGACTAAAAACCTGCAAGGCCAAGCTTGGGGGGGGGGCGTAGAGAACTTTTCCTCCTGCCCCCACCCTTGAAAGGGGGCTGGTTTCCCAGGATTAAAGACGATGCCCTTCCGTCCTCTTAGCTTGAAAGCCTCGTCATCCCTCCAGAGGCTCTCCCTCTTTGAGCTCCCTGCTAAAATGCAGACTGGGGAAAAGCACTCTGCCTATGTTCAGAGGCTGCTCTGGTGCCGATTCCTTGACGTCTCGTGGAGCCCGGCTTTGGGGATCGGGACGGGCTGCCCGCCCCAGACGTCCAGTGAATGCTACGCCTCTCCTCCTCCTCGCCGTAGAGGCTAATTCCTAGTAGGAGTTAAGTTTTCTTTTGCCCATTGAGAGCATAGCATTGGCCGGGTGGGAGAAAACGGTGGCACGAAACAGCAAATCAAGGCCTCCTCTAATCATCCCACAACCCTGCCAGTCATAACAACTCTAAGGATTGCATTGAGAGGTTATGAATACACGGTAGTAACATGGCTCAGGAAAAATGCCACACAGACTTTTGGGAAAATTTAAGTTCTTCTCTTTCCAAACATTTGGCAGCTCACCCAGCTGGCCTGGAAGGATGATCAATGCTATTGGGCAGTTCAGTTTCCCCCTAGCCTGGTTTGGGGGGGGGGGGAGGATTGCCATCAGATCATGGGCTAGCAGTGGGGTTATGGGCAATGCCGTGTTGTTGTTTTTAATGGTGTTTGTATGCACTTGTCAGAAAAAACAGCCTTGCTTTCTTCCGGGTCTTGGGATGTGGGAGAGACGAGCCCCTGCTTAAATCTGAACCTTTGCAGGGATGCAAAAAGGGCCCCCGGCCGGGGCCTGGGGTGGAGATGGGGAGCCCTGATTCAGTGGGGATTTTAGCCTTCAGGACTGGCCAGGAGAAACCCTCTTGTGGGTGGATAGACGAGGGACATTTGTTCACTGGCGCCGGGCCCACGGGGGGGGGGCCTCAAAGTGCTGGGCAATAAGGCAGATAAAAACAGTTAAAAACAGATTAAAGGCCTGTAAACAAAGCCCTGCACAGCGGATGAAAAACACCTCCTAAGAGCAGATGCAAAATGCTCTTTTTAAAAGCCCGCCCGGAGAAGCCTTCCTGCTGTTCCGAGCGAGATCGCTTGGGCAGAAGTTCAACTGGGCCGGAGCTGTCCTGATTTCCACAAAGCTTCCCAGGGAAGGGTGTTTTTTCCCCGGAGCTTGGAAACATTCCTTTTTAGCTTTTACCCTTCCTGGAAGCTCACACACACACACACACACACCACCTGCAGCCAGCGTGGCTGTGGGTCTTCCAAGCTCCCCTTAGGGATGGGATCTGGGCTTGGCACGACTGTGGGGAAACCTCCCCCCCCCCGCTGAGTGGATTTTGGGAACGGTAGTCCTAAATCCAGAACCGTTTCAAAGTTCCCAAGGCAGCTGTGTGATGTGGTATTCCCGCATTAAGCAAGCCCCCCCCCGGGGTGTTTCTCCGTTTGCACTGTTGCAATGCTTGTCCAAATGAGTTGGGGGGGGTGGAAGCTTTTTCCATGGCCCTACAATGGAAATCTGCACCATTTTGCCCGCTCCAGCGCTGCCCTCGGCCGCGTGTCTTTCCAGACCGATGCCCATGGGATTTTTTTCTGTTTCAAATTTCCCAAGGCAGCTGTGTGAAGTGGTATTCACACATCAAGCAAGCCCCCCCCCCCGGGGTGTTTCTCCGTTTGCACTGTTGCAATGCTTGTCCAAATGAGTTTGGGGGGGGTGGCGGCTTTTTCCATGGCCCTACAATGGAAATCTGCACCATTTTGCCCGCTCCAGCGCTGCCCTCGGCCGCGTGTCTTTCCAGACCGATGCCCATGGGATTTTTTTCCCAGGTCGTGCTGGCCTCGTGCCTCCACGGTCAACCCCTCCCCGCTGCTAAGGATCATAGCCTTCAGCCGGCACGGAGCTTCGGAGCAACCGCGTTGCCTGGGAAGGTCTGCCAGAGTGGCAGAATAGCATGTATTCTTGCTGCGGCTTCCGCTCGGGCACCGGGAACGCTTAGCCTGCAAGGGAAGTGCAGGGACTGGTGGCATTTTTGTTTCCCCTTCTGCCTAGAAAGACCAGCTCGAGAATAACGTCTTTGTCTTCCTCCCCCTGGAAGGAGCTCCGGGGACGAAGAGGCAGCCCCTGCGCCCGTTCCCAGCACCCGGGGGAGAGGGTGCCCACTGTGTGGCATCTTTGGGGGCAAAAGTCAGAGGTGGCGCGACGGTGGGCGAGCGAGCGAACAAGAGCGACCCAGGGGCGTGTTGAGTGTCGGGGCCGAGGCATGCCTCGAACTCTCGTCCCCACGGAGCAGAAAGCAGAGGCCGACCTTTGGCCGGCCGGCCACCTTGTTTGTGCCAGGTGGGGAAACCCTGCCGGTTTCGGTCGGGGGACGAAACGCATTGTGTAAGAAAGAGGAAAGAGGACTGCCGTGCTTGTTTTGTTTAAATAGCTTATCAGATTAAAACAAACACACACCATGGATACAGTGGCAAACCAGGTTGAACCCTTTAAAACCAACATCCACAGCAAATAAACGGCGGCTGGTACCAAGTCCTGATTGACAGCCAACCTCTGTTTCAACGAAAGCAGCATTGATTGCCAGCAGCAGGGAGGCAGCCAACCAACCGAGTGTCATGTGGAAGGGAGTTCCACAGCCCAGAAGGGCTCAGAAGTCCACTTGTACAGCAGGGAGGGTGCAATTTTCCAGATAGTAGGGGCATAAGTTGTTGTGGGTTTGAGAGACCCCAAGCAGCATATGGAATCAAGGGAGGAGACGGTTCGGGTCGTTACAAGGCGCTCAGTTGGTACGGGTAAACCACCTTCAGAATCTGTCCCAGGGAAGGCCATGACCTCTACTTAATCCGGGGGTATCTCAAATTAAGGCCAGCAAACTGAGCAGAGAAATTCCCAGAACAGAAATCTCTCCCATGTTGGGCTAAGTTTACAGTGGCGCTCTGGAGCCTCCAGACGGAGTGGCAGTCTATCTCGGAAGATGGTCTGCAGAACAGCAGGGTCGTCGCTGAGGGCCTCGTTCGTCGGCTTCATTTTTTGGTTCTCTGGTTGGCTAGTTTTGGGGACAAGCTTGTGCCGTTTGGGGCGCGTGAAGCATGTGGCAAAAGTCTGCTTGCAATCATGAGGGTTCCCCTCCCCCCCGCCACCCCCGTCCGGCTTTCTTGCTTTGGGCAAACTGAACGGAATAAAAACAGAAGAGAGTGCATTTCAGTCGGGAGAAAGCCTCCAGCCGGTCTGGACGGCCACAGCTGCTTCCGACTTTGCTCTCCTGCTGCTCCCAGCAGCTGCTTCAAGTTTTGAGTTTCCTGGATCCGTGGAAGTAATTCCTCCCCCCCCCGGCAACCCCCTTTTATTGGATGCATGCCTTTGTTTGCAAAACTCACAAACCTATAATGCTCGGCCGCCTTCCGAAGATGGAATGGAATGCATGGGTTTCTTTGCGGTTTGGGGAGGGGGGCCCTCTCAAAAGCACAAAAGAAGGCACAGTTATCTTAAAAATGGGGGAATCTGATCCGATGGCTGCCGGGCGGCAGGTTCCAGCCCCCACTGAAGCTGGATCCAGAAGGGTCTCCTTGCATTCGGAACGTGTTAACTGCAGTTTTAATCCCTTGATTTTAAAAATGGCAACACCACCACATACATAACACAGAGAGGAGACACAGAGACGGCCTTGGAGGAGTGGCAAGCAGGCGGGGCGCTGGGAATGGTCATCCGATTGGACCACAAATCCCATCATCCCTCAGTGACAGTAGCTTGGGGATTCTGGGCCTTGTTGGCTTCATAATTCCTTTTTTTGTTTTTGTTTTTTGTTCTGCATGGGGCTTCATCTTGAATCCAAACAGTGTCATAGAAAGGTGGACTAACCTGCGGCCGGGATCGTCCCTTGGAATCCAACCGGTTGCCAAATACCCAAACCAGTAGCCACTGGGCTAATAAAAGGCACACACCTGTTTTCTCCTCCTGTTGCATGATTTTATTCCTCGGCCTTCTTGACAGCGGGTGGCCTTGTCGCTTTGAGCTGGTTTCTGTGCCGTTTGCTAACTTTTCTTAGGGATTTGCTAAAGTACAGTCTCTGCTTCTCTGGCGTGCTAGAGCGACAGGCAGTTTAAAGAAAAAGTAAAGGGTCATCTTATTTACCCGTCTTCTCCATTTCTTCTTGCAGTGAAGGCGTCTTCAAGTGTCCAGAAGACCAGCTTCCTCTCGATTATGCCAAGGTGAGCCATCCTGCCCTGTATAAAACACACATACAACATTTCCCCTGTCTGCTTGGTGAACACTTTAATGAGATCAGTGGGGGGAAATGGTTTTAAGAGCTAGATCCAAATTAGCAACCCGTTTTCTTCTCCGGGAGCAGGTCTTTTGTAAAGTTAACGACTCTTAATTGCTTATTCAAGTCCAAATTGCCTGCAAAATACCTGGAAGGGGATTGGTTCCAAAGATTTAGTATGAGGATTGGCTCCAGGAGTCAAGCGTGCTTACCCTGGGGAAGATTGGGGGTGATATGGGAGCCCTTGGCAGCTGGACTAGATGATCTTTTGGGCAACCCTTCCAGGTTTATGACTCTTTAATTCAACTTTCCAAGCCACAGTTCTGTTATAACACCCATGGAGGGGGGGCGTGAGGTCTAGCGGGCTGTAGCTCTCCAGCGGCCTCCAACCTTTTTCCTCGCCTCCCTCCATCCCGCTTGACATTTAGAAGCCAGGCTTTATGAGTCAGGAATCTGTTCTCTTTTAAAAAAAACTTTACTCCCTCGGATTCCTATTTCAGGATCTGTCCAGCACCGGGCAGACGATTCTGTATTCTTCTGGGCCTCTTTAAAAATCCAGAACTGTGCCACTCTTTCTGACCCTTCTTTTCCCCCTGCATCGGATTAATAGGGCAACTGACAGCCCCCCATGGAAATTTCAAAGGCTGTTTTATTGATTATGTGTCATCTTCTTTTCTTCCGGAAACGGCTTTGGAGTTGTTTACAAGGGAAGGGCAGCTTTGAAACGGGTGAAGGATCAGGCCAAATGACTCTTTAGTCCAGGTCTCTCTTTACACTGCCAGGCACCTCTGGTGGAAGCCCACAGGGATGGAGTGTCCTCCCACTCTCCTTTCCGCCCGTGCTGGGAGCAGTCCTGAGCGGGACGCCTCTCTCTCTCTCTCTTTGTGCCCTTCCAGATCTACCCGGATCCCGAACTCGAGGCCCAGGTTCTCAGCCTGACCATCCGGTGCATCCACAGCGAGGAAGGGTGCCGCTGGAGCGGGACCGTCCGGCAGCTGCAGGTGAGAACAGACATCCCGTCGTCATCCTCCCCACCTCCCTCCTGCTGGGATTTGTCGTCGAAACGTCCGCTTCCCTGTTTCGGTGGGCAGGGTGGTGTCCCTTCCCTTCCTCGCGACTCACTGCCTCTCTTTTCTCCTCGTCTGTCCTGCCGGCTGGCCGGTCTGGCTCCCCTCCCGCCAGGCCCACCTCGGCACCTGCAGCTACAACGTGGTCCCCTGCCCCAACCGCTGCGGGGCCAAACTGAGCCGCCGGGACCTCTCCTCTCACCTCCAGCACGGCTGCCCCCAGCGCCAGCTCAAGTGCGAGTTTTGCGGAGCCGACTTTACGGGAGAAGCCTATGAGGTAAGAAAACAGGTAGCCTCCGAGCATGTCCAAAGGGCCGTGCAGGACATGGAGAGAACAGGGAGGGGCTCCTCCTCTCTTTCTTTCTTTCTTTCTTTCTTTCTTTCTTTCTTTCTTTCTTTTTGGCCAAGCGCGTCCCGGATTTTGTTCCAACCCAAATTCTGACGTTTGCAGCTCTCAAACAGCAGCTTTTCTGGGGTGGCACAACCGGAGAGCAGCCAGGCTCCCATTTCCGTCCTGCCGGGCGAGGGTTCGGAGAAAGGCCAGCAGAGTCGCGAGAGGGCAAACAAGGGAGTGGGCAACGTTTTAACGACCTTGCTTCTCGTTAAAAGGCTACCGCTTTGGGGGGAGGTTGTTATTGGTGTGTTTTGTCCTCTGTTTTGGATGTGAAGTCGAGAGACCGGCTGGAAAGGGAAGATATAAGTGAGACGGATCTCAACCCATAAGGGGTCTGGGAAGCTGCGGGTTGGCCACAGTGGGGTTCACAAGGGGACCATCCTTTGGCATCGGAGGGGGGGTCTGGCATTATTTGGGGGAGGAGGTATCCCCTCTGGATCTCATCTCCCCCCCCCAAAAAAAAACCCATGTTCCTCCCGGCCTGGTTTTGGGCACCCACCCCTCCGTTTTCGTCCCTCCCGGCCACAGAACCATGAAGGCGTCTGCCCGCAGGAGAGTGTCTACTGCGAGAACAAGTGCGGGGCCCGCATGATGCGCCGGCTGCTCTCCCAGCACATGCTGGCCGAGTGTCCAAAGCGCACCCAGCCTTGCCCTCACTGCGCCAAGGAGTTTCTCTACGACACCATCCAGGTGAGACACTGGGGCCACCCCACAAGACACACAAGAGGGGGGTGGGTGTGCCTCGATCTGGCGGCTTGGTGACGCCGGTCAGTCGGTAGAGCCGAGCCCTTTCGGCGCCCTGTGGTGGCCCCAAAAAGTCATTTCTACGTAGGACTTCTTGTGGCTGTGAAAACGCAGAGGCCCTTCTTTCGACTGCATGAAAATCTGTCTGCCACTGGACTCTTAGAGCGCTCGCTTGCATGAGAAGGCCCAGAAATAGCAGGGGATTTTGGGGCCATCCTGGTAGGGGGATTCTGGGCATTGTAGTCCAGAAAAGCACCCTTCCTCCCGTGGAAATACCTACCCCCGGTATTCACTTGGGTCACTCCACACCAGCCCCTCTTTTAAGCAGGGCCTCCTCCAGGGGACCAGTTGGGTTGTCCTTTGGAAGACCCCCCCGGCCCCCAGCGCCTTCTCCTCTCCTCCTCCCCAGAACCATGAGTACCAGTGTCCCCGTTTCCCGGTGTCCTGCCCCAACCAGTGCGGGGTGCCCAGCATTGCCCGGGAGGATCTGAGCGGGCACCTGAAGGAGAACTGCACCACGGCACTGGCGCTCTGCCCCTTCAAGGAGGCCGGCTGCAAACACCGGGTAAGGAGGGGGTGTCTCTCGTGCGGTGTCGCTGGGCACCCTTCCCTTGGGATGGGCTTTGGGGAAGGAGGTGTCTGCGGTCTGGACGGGGACGCCCCACAGGCCCTCAGCCGGCCAGCCTGGCACAGCGGGTGGGCCTTCTCTGCCCCGCGAGCCTGGTGCCCGGCTCCTTCGTGGCCGGAGGGAGGAACGCAGGAGAGCGGCATTCTAACGGCGCTCCGGCTCGCCCTCTCCTGCCTCCGCAGGGCCCCAAACTGGCCATGAGCCGCCACCTGGAGGAGAGCGCCAAGCTCCACCTGGGGCTGATGGGGGCCTTGGTGGCCCGGCAGCGCCAGGAGCTGGCGGAGCTGCGCCGCGAGGTGGAGGAGCTGGCGGTCGGCAGCGAGGGCGTGCTGATCTGGAAGATCCCGGACTACGCCCGCAAGCTGCAGGAGGCCAAATCCCGGAGCAACTACGAGTCCTTCAGCCCCGCTTTCTACACCCACCGGTACGGCTACAAGCTCCAGGTCTCGGCCTTCCTGAACGGCAACGGCAGCGGCGAAGGCAGCCACCTCTCGGTCTACATCCGGGTCCTCCCCGGCCAGTACGACAACCTCCTGGAGTGGCCCTTCACCTACCGCGTCACCTTCTCGCTCCTGGACCAGAGCGACCCCTCCCTCTCCAAGCCTCAGCACATCACCGAGACCTTCCTGCCAGACCCCAACTGGAAGAACTTCCAGAAGCCCGGATCCGGCCGCGCCTCCCTGGACGAGAGCCTGCTGGGCTTCGGGTACCCCAAGTTCATCTCCCACGAGGACATCAAGAAGCGCAACTACGTGCGAGACAACGCCGTCTTCATCAAGGCCTCGGTGGAGATCCCCCAGAAAATCATCTCGTGAACCAGGCGGTCCTGCCTGCGTGGCTGCCCTTTCGGGTGGGGGTGGGGGTGTACAGGATCGCCCCAACCCTAGAGAAAAAAAAGGGGGGGCACAAAAAAGCCCAGCCATCTGGATTAATCTTTTGGGTTGCATTGAGGGATACGGATCTGAGCTTCTCTTTTCGAAATACTTTGGCCAATGAAACCACCGCCCTCTCGGCACATCTGGGCTGAGTCCTCTCTCCTGGCTACTCTTTCCTCGTGGTGCTAAAGTCCTACAAGTCAGGGACAGACTCCAGCCTGGATCGTGACCCTCTCTGTCTTCCCCGGAGCAGCTGGGCTGCTTCTTTCTCCCCCCCTCCTCCTCTCTGCCCTCCCCCCCTCCAGCCCCGAGCATCTCGTCCCAATCTTGCAAGGAGGAACCCTGTGAAAACTCAGAAGAAGCGGGCCGTGCGGGGAAGGGATGTGGCTGTGGGCGACGTGGTTGACTGCGCAGCCGTTGTGCAATGAGGTGGGTGGGTTTGGGTCTGCAGAGGACGGATCTTGGCCATTTGGTGCTATCGGGACTCTCTTTCCCCCCCCTCCAGATCCTGGAAGGTGGAAAGTGGGGTGTGCGTGACCTTTGGGCTGTGTTTTTTTGGGTGGGGGGCTTAGGATGCAACCGCGCACCCCTTGCAGCTCCTGAATGTGCCAGACAGGACCTGGAGGAGTCCTGCCCCCCATCACCCCCCCAGCCCATCTTGATCCCCGAGCCAGTTTTCCAGCCTGGAAATCTTCCTTCCAGGGCCCAGAATATCCTCCATCCTACTCTTCCGCTCGTCCTCCCCTTTCCATGGGTTGGCCCCTCCTGTTCAAGGGAGGGTCGGGTGGGGGAAGTTGGTCCACCCCTTTTCCAAAGAGCCATATTTTGTACGGTGAGCCCCCCCAATCCCCAAATCTTGGAGGGGGGGAAGCTCCTCCTCCTTTCTTTCTTGTTGGGAAGACGCAGCTCCCGCCTGTCTTTGTTGATTTTTCTTCTGCTCGCAGGGGGTGTGGGAGCAGCCGGGGGGGGGGCTGTCTCTACGCCGCCCCACCTCTCTCGTCTATGGTTGTCGTTGTTGTTTTTTAATTAAATAAACCATTTCCTGTATTTATTAACCAGGCTGGATTCTTGGGGAACAGGGTTGGTGACTGCCTTCCGTGCAAAGGAAGAAGGAGAACGGGCCGGCTGGCAAGAAAAGAGCTTGTTGCCAAAGGACTCCAAATCCTCAGCCCACGAACACTCGGGCTAGAATAAACCCTGCCACCTTCCAGGCGGCACTGGGCACTTGGCCGTTTTGCAGCTGCGTAGCTCTCGCGCCCTGTGGTCAGCCGGGCTGGGCCGCTCGTTTGGCGACCTGCTCAAACCATCCTCGGCCTTCTAATTTGCTTCTTTTTCTGTCCCTCGCAGCCTTGACGTCTGAGATGTGGTTGGAGACTTTGATTTTTCCTTCCTCATTCTGGAAACCCCTTTTTTGTTGTTGTTGCTCCAAATATATCCCCAAGGAGTGTCTGCCACCGCCTGTGGGTTTTATGTGCTCCGGAGAGGTCTCGTCTGGAGGCCTGTTCCCGGAGGGTCTTAATTATCCCTTTGGCTTCTCGTGGGAGTATTTAACCCACCCTGGACGGAGCGCTTGGAAGCGGAGGGTTTGGAAATTCATTTCAGCTCTTCACCCTTTTCAAGGAGCCATTTTGGAAAACAGTTTGTCTTCTCAGCTTCTGACAGGAATGTGCAGCCCTGAGAGCACTGTGCTGACATACGGGGCTGCTGTAAGGACCAGTGAGCTAATGGAGGTGGCCTGAGCCCTGTGGAACTACCACCAACTTGAAATTAACTGGGTCCGTTTTTAGGCTGTATCGCACCCTTTTTGAGGCCAGCTTTCCTTAGCACAGAATGGCGCAGGAGGGAGCCAGGCCATAGATTAGCGGTGCTGTGTGCAGAAAGTCCTGGGTTCAAGTTCTGGTGTCTCCAGTTAGGACAAGCTCCAGGAAACATGGGGATGGCCTTTCTCAGCTGGAGACCTCCTGAGTGCCGCCTTGTGCTCCTGTTTAAATCAAGGCTTTCCCGAACAACCTGAGGACTGGAAACATGCGTTGCCATAGCCTGGTGGTGGAGCTTTCACTTTGCACGGAGGTCCCAGCGCTTGCTTTCACCTCTTCCGTGAAACAGAGGAGCAACTGGGAAAAAGTCTCTCTTTTTTTTGCCCAAAAGGCTGGTGCACCGTAGCTGCCAGTCAGAGCCTGGCACCAGTCAGGGCTCGAGGGACGCCTTTCACAAGAGGAGCCTCCCATTCAGCCGAGAAGCCCAGTGGCTTGTCTGTGTTTGGGGTCCAAGTCCAGAGACACAAGATAAGAGCGTGCCAGGAGATAACCTCGTGGACCTGTTCCAAGCCCGGCATCCAAACAGGTTCTGCCTGTCTGTCTCCTCTCCTCCCTTCCATTGGACTAACACAGCTTTACTGTTGACCTCCGGCCAGTTTGCCGGGCCAGGATCCGGGAGGGTCTCCCAAGCCAGGCACTCAGATGCTATGGGGCTCTCCCCTTGCCTGCCTCCCTCTGCCTCTGGGAACAGAGGGTCAGGATCCATCCCGTCCGCCTTGTTCCAGATGCCTTACCTCTGAGTCAGGAGCTGGAGGCAGGCGGAGTGCGTCACCAGCCAAGGGTGGGGTCCCGTTTGGCGTGCGCCGGCTTCCTTGTGGCTCACAGGGTACGAAAAAAACGACCCGGTACGCTCTGCTCAAAATGACTTAGGTTTGCATTGCTTTTAAAAAATGGGTGTCAATTCGGATTATGGAGAAAAAGACGGTCTGCTCCATCAGCCCAGATTTTGCCCCGGGAAAAGCCAAGGGCAAGCAGCCTGTAAAGAATCCAGACTGGGATGGCTAAGAAGGCCTGTTGTTGTTTTTTTCCCAGCACGAGGGAGGCCCCCACAAAAAATATATCTGAAAGGATGTCCAGAAATCTTGCAAGTTCACCTTCCTGACTTTGCCGGACTCCAAACCCCATCGTCCTGCACTGTCGGCTCTGCGAGCGAAGGCTGATGGGCGTTGTGGGCCAGCCCTTCCCGGAGGGCCCGTGCCTTCTCTGCCCCCTGGCATCTCCGGCCTTGCTCTAAATCAATTCCAGAGACGCTTTTGGGGGCCAACCCAAGGGTGATAAACGAGGAGTCAGAAAATGATATTTAGCCCGAAGCTCCATTTCAATCTTAATTGATTTTCCTCCCATTTTCAAAGCGAGGAGAAAGTTAACCTTGGTGGGACGGCGCCCTAGAAAAAGGAGACGAGGTTGTTGTGCGATGCCTGGAGAATTGGGGAGGGGGGGAGAAGGACGGGGGGGAGGGCTCATTCCATACATATATATATATATATATACACACAGTACTGTATACACACACACACCCCTCCCCACTACCTTCTGGCAGCCCTAGATGCAAACTGGGGCACAAGGCTGGGATTGAATTGGTGACCCACATACGGGCCCAGACGGAGGCTTAGGTCAGAGAGAAGGTTGCTAATTCAATCTGTGGGGAGAGACTTGGGGGACTTCCCTTTTTCCCTACATATTGGGGGGGGGG